CACTCGTTATCTGTATTAATGGCACCTGTTTGAACTAGTTATCAGTATAAAAGACACCTGTCCACAACCTCAAACAGTCACACTCCAAACTCCACTATGGCCAAGACCAAAGAGCTGTCAAAGGACACCAGAAACAAAATTGTAGACCTGCACCAGGCTGGGAAGACTGAATCTGCAATAGGTAAGCAGCTTGGTTTGAAGAAATAATAATAAATAATAATATGCCATTTAGCAGACGCTTTTATCCAAAGCGACTTACAGTCATGCGTGCATACATTTTTGTGTATGGGTGGTCCCGGGGATCGAACCCACTACCTTGGCGTTACAAGCGCCGTGCTCTACCAGCTGAGCTACAGAGGACCGCGTGTAAGGGTCCTCTGGGTCCTCTGTAGCTCAACTGTGGGAGCAATTATGGAAGACATACAAGACCACTGATAATCTCCCTCGATCTTGGGCTCCACGCAAGATCTCACCCCGTGGGGTCAAAATGATCACAAGAACGGTGAGCAAAAATCCCAGAACCACACGGGGGGACCTAGTGAATAACCTGCAGAGAGCTGGGACCAAAGTAACAAAGCCTACCATCAGTAACACACTACGCCGCCAGGGACTCAAATCCTGCAGTGCCAGATGTGTCCCCCTGCTTAAGCCAGTACATGTCCAGGCCCGTCTGAAGTTTGCTAGAGTGCATTTGGATGATCCAGAAGAGGATTGGGAGAATGTCATATGGTCAGATGAAACCAAAATATAACTTTTTGGTAAAAACTCAACTCGTCGTGTTTGGAGGACAAAGAATGCTGAGTTGCATCCAAAGAACACCATACCTACTGTGAAGCATGGGGGTGGAAACATCATGCTTTGGGGCTGTTTTTCTGCAAAGGGACCAGGACGACTGATCCGTGTAAAGGAAAGAATGAATGGGGCTATGTATCGTGAGATTTTGAGTGAAAACCTCCTTCCATCAGCAAGGGCATTGAAGATGAAACGTGGCTGGGTCTTTCAGCATGACAATGATCCCAAACACACCGCCCGGGCAACGAAGGAGTGGCTTCGTAAGAAGCATTTCAAGGTCCTGGAGTGGCCTAGCCAGTCTCCAGATCTCAACCCCATAGAAAATCTTTGGAGGGAGTTGAAAGTCTGTGTTGCCCAGCGACAGCCCCAAAACATCACTGCTCTAGAGGAGATCTGCATGGAGGAATGGGCCAAAATACCAGCAACAGTGTGTGAAAACCTTGTGAAGACTTACAGAAAACATTTGACCTGTGTCATTGCCAACAAAGGGTATATAACAAAGTATTGAGAATCTTTTGTTATTGACCAAATACTTATTTTCCACCATAATTTGCAACTAAATTCATTAAAAATCCTACAATGTGAATTTCTGGGAAAAAAATTCTCATTTTGTCTGTCATAGTTGACGTGTACCTATGATGAAAATTACAGGCCTCTCTCATATTTTTAAGTGGGAGAACATGCACAATTGGTGGCTGACTAAATACTTTTTTTCCCCACTGTACATACACAGTTGAAGTCTGAAGTTTACATACACCTTAGCCAAATACATTTAAACTCAGTTTTCACAATTCCTGACATTTAATCCTAGTAAAAATTCCCTGTCTTAGGTCAGTTAGGATCACCACTTTATTTTAAGAATGTGAAATGTCAGAATAATAGTAGAGAGAATGATTTATTTCTACTTTTATTTCTTTCATCACATTCCCAGTGGGTCAGAGGTTTACATACACTCAATTAGTATTTGGTAGCATTGCCTTTAAATTGTTTCACTTGGGTCAAACGTTTTGGGTAGCCTTCCACAAGCTTCCCGCAATAAGTTGGGTGAATTTTGGCCCATTCCTCCTGACAGAGCTGGGGTAACTGAGTCAGGTTTGTAGGCCTCATTGCTCGCACACACTTTTTCAGTTCTGCCCATAAATGTTCTATAGGATTGAGGTCAGGGCTTTGTGATGACCACTCCAATACATTGACTTTGTTGTCTTTAAGCCATTTTGCCACAACTTTGGAAGTATGATTGTTCATTTGGAAGACCCATTTGCGACCAAGCTTTAACTTCCTGACTGATGTGAAGTGTACCAGTCCCTCCTGCAAAGCACCCCCACAGCATGCTGCTGCCACCCCTGTGCTTCACGGTTGGGATGGTGTTCTTCGGCTTGCAAGCCTCCCCATTTTTCCTTCAAACATAAGGATGGTCATTATGGCCAAACAGTTCTATTTTTGTTTCATCAGACCAGAGGACATTTCTCCAAAAAGTACAATCTTTGTCCCCATGTGCAGTTGCAAACCTTAGTCTGGCTTTTCTATGGCGGTTTTGGAGCAGTGGCCTCTTCCTTGCTGAGCGGCCTTTCAGGTTATGTTGATATAGGACTCATTTTACTGTGGATATAGATACTTTTGTATCTGTTTCCTCTAGCATCTTCACAAGGTCCTTTGCTGTTGTTCTGGGATTGATTTGCACTTTTCGCACCTAAGTACGTTCATCTATAGGAGACAGAACACGTCTCCTTCCTGAGTGGTATGCGTGGTCCCATGGTGTTTATACTTGCATACTATTGCTTGTACAGATGAACGTGGTAATTTCAGGCGTTTGGAAATTGCTCCCAAGGATGAACCAGACGTGTGGAGGTGTACAATTTTTTTTCTGAGGTCTTGGCTGATTTCTTTTGATTTTCCCATTATGTCAAGCAAAGAGGCACTGAGTTTGAAGGTAAGCCTTGAAATACATCCACAGGTACACCTCCAATTGACTCAAATGATGTCAATTAGCCTATCAGAAGCTTCTAAAGCCATTACATCATTTTCTGGAATTTTCCAAGCTGTTTAAAGGCACAGTCAACTTTGTGTATGTAAACTTCTGACCCACTGGAATTGTGATACAGTGAATTATAAGTGAAATAATCTGTCTGTAAACAATTGTTGGAAAAATTACTTGTGTCATGCACAAAGTAGATGTCCTAACCGACTTGCCAAAACTATAGTTTGTTAACAAGAAATTTGTGGAGTGGTTGAAAAACTAGTTTTAATGACTCCAACCTAAGTGTATGTAAACTTCCGACTATATATGGGGGATTGGAATTGATGCAGACAGTTACATTGATGGAAGCTACAATCTATCTGCAATATTAAAGCTGATCTACCCCCCAAAAAAATAAAAAAATAAATTGGAAGTAGAATTGAATTCAGTGCAATTTCACTCAGTCATTATGTTGAACATGAGAGTTTCATTGAATCTGACAGGTTACACTTCCAGATACCAAAGAAAATATTACTTTTTTTCTGGAAACAATGTTCATATACTATTTTAACCTTAGTGCTTAGAATAGCCAATTATATTTCCATCAACCATTTCATTTGTTTGGCTGCTTTTTTTAAGGCCTTGGACCTTAACTTGAGGGTTAAACTAATGTATTCTGGGAAATGTAGCATTTTCCCCATATTTAACCAAATTTAAGTGATTGATGAAATATAATAACTTAGAATATTTGAATACAGGTTTTGTTTTCCTTGATCATTCATTTTAAGATTTTGTCCTGAAAATCAATTGTTTCATCAGGGTCGTTCCACCTCAAAAAGCACAAGAAAGAGGATTTCGACATCCATCTCAGATTGTTCTGAAATCAAATCAAATCCAATTTTATTTGCCACATAACAGGTGTAGACATTACCGTGAAATGCTTACTTACAGCCCTTAACCAACAATGCAATTATTTCTTAATAAAAAAGTAAAATAAAACAACAACAAAAAGTTTAGGTAGTTGAGGTAATATATACATGTGGCTAGAGTTAAAGTGACTATGCCTAAATAATTAACAGAGTAGCAGCAGCGTAAAAAGATGGGATGGGGGTGCAAATAGTCCGGGTAGCCATGATTAGCTGTTCAGGAGTCTTAAATAGTTTCTGTTGTTAGATAAGATTACCATTCCTGCAACATTATTTTGTTGAAATATAATTTGATCTCTGAGAAATTAAGCTAATAGCAGGAAAAGCACCATCTAGTGGTCAGAACCTGGTAATATCAGGATATAGGATGGGACATAAACCTAACAGATTCAATTACAAATTTCTGAACAGTGGAAAAAAAACATCACCAAATTCACTGAGAATACATTACATAGGATGAAGAAACAATACTCAGAGCCGCAGCTCCATACTACTTGTCAGACATTGAGAACTGATACTGTATACTCATTGTTGGGTTGGGATTGACATGGGATGTGGGGGGTCCGTGGGTGGCTTTTGACCATTTATTTGGATTACCCGTGTCTTACTCATTGTTAGAAAAAAGTTTGGTCCAAATCGGATGTAAGGTACTATATTTACAGAATATTATATGAATACTATAAATTAAAATAGCCAATTTGGGTGCAATCAATTTGCTTAATTTCTCAGAGATCAAATTATATTTCAACAAAATAATTTAGCAGGAATGTTAATCTTATCTTTTTCTAACTACAGAAACGATTTCAGAACAATCTGAGATGGTGGGTGTCATGGCTTGCTGAAATTACATGGAACGACCAAACAATATTTAATTTGCATGTACTGTATTTAACGACGTTTGATCCACAAGATGTATAGACTATACTTAATGTAGAATAGACATTTGAATTTCACAGAATTCAATATCCCATTTACTACTTCAATAGGAATTCATTATGAGGAATGCTCAATTGAGCCCAACCCTGGTGTGAAACATTGTTGCATTTAAACCACTGGTTACTTTGTATGCTGAACATTTAACATTTTAGTCATTTAGTAGACACTCTTATCCAGAGCAACTTACAGTAGTGAGTGCATACATTTTTCATATTGGTCCCTCATGGGAATCGAACCCACAACGCTAGTGTTGCAAGTGCCATGCTCTACCAACTGAGCCATATGGGTCACCATGTTTGCAATGGGAAGTAATAGTTGTATTTCGATTTGGAAATGCTTAGCCTAATGGTTCTGTTTTTGTATTCTTATGATTGGAACCTACTGGCTTATTATTGTTTTGGTGATAGTGATGGCGTTAGGCTACCATAGGTTATGTAAGCAATGAGGTTGTTGTTGCTGGTAACGCTAGTGCAGGTGCTGTCTCTGTTTTTTGAGATTTGGGAGTTTGGTACAATGTTTTGGAAGATATTTTCCCACACTGAAGGCCTAGGTCCAATAGCCACGGTTCGCTATGTTACGTGTGTGCGCGTGCGCGTGCATCTACGTGCGTATGGATATGCGTGCGAGTATGCACGTGTGTGTGTGTACATATGTCCATCCATCTCTCACCTCACAGTGTGCGAGGAGGCCGGCACAGCCGCCCCCTGGTTGGGCTGCAGCACGTGGACCGTCTGGATCATCTGTTCTGCATGTTTACCATTGAGCTCAGGGTACAGCCCTCCATCCATATCAATAGGCTCTCTCTTCACTTGTTTTACCAATATAGGATGGTGCCCATGAGCAGGGTTTTTACCGTGACCCCCTCTGGGGCCTCCACGGCCCCCCATTCCCCGGCCGTGGTGGCTGGGGCGGTGACCCCCATAGCCAGGGCTGAGTTCGGGGCATGTGTCCTCTTCAATCACCACTAGGTCAGGAGGCATCTCTTTAAACTGGTAGACTAGCCGCTGGCCCTCCACCTTAGCCAGGATACCGCGCTGGTAGTAATACCTTAGGGAGGGAGAGAAGTGACAGTTAAGGTAAGATCATTTTGTTTGTGGCATTGAGTAAACATGAGGTAACATTACAAACAGAAAGAGACTTGAGGAAAATATTTGCACTTTTCTAAATTTACTTCAGTGGAACACTTTCGCTTGCTACCCCGATAATGGCCGTGGTTTGAATAAGGTGCCATTGGAATTGATGATTGCTTTGCTCTATTTCTTTTATAACCTGGTCCTTGATAATGTTGACCTGAGAGACGTGACTTAAAGTCCTGGTACAAAGGATATCTGGGGTCCATAATAATATTTTGTGTGGGCTCTTTTATTTGTAGATGTCAGCCAGACTTGTCTGCCTGACACCCAGTGCCTTGCTCACTGTATTAAAACAAATTCAAAGTAGGTTTCATTGACGTTATAATACTGCCTTCAAGAGGAGAAGTGGATGGGGGTGAGTTGAGATTTTGTACGACACCACATACTGTATGTGCGGTTTGGCATCTATGTGATCTAGAAGCACTTATTCCATTTTTTATTTTTTGTAGTGCTTTTTACTGCAACAGGTGCACAGACATTTTAACATGATACCCTTCTTAACTGTGTTATGATATGAGGGGTAGTTTAGTGTCAGGACATAGACAAACACACTACCATGCACTTCCATACTCCATCCCCAGGTGGCAGCACCGAGTCAAGGGCTGAAGTTAGAGATTATTTCGCGAGCCAATGCTAACTAGCGTTAGAGCAATGACTGGAAGTTTATGGTTATCTGCTAGCATGCTAGTAGATACCCATAGACTTTCAGTCATTGCGCTAACACTAGTTAGCATTGGCTCACAAAACTACCTCTGACTTCCTTCATTATGGACACAAAGACATACAAATGGTATCCACGAGTTCATCTGACTCTGGGGAAGTAGATAAAGGGCCTCATTGCCAAAATCCCAAAGTATCCCATTAAGTCCACAGGTGGGAGCCGTCAGGATTATTGGCAATCTGTGACCAGAGGCCTGGGCCTGCCAGTTTTTGATGTGGTTTTGTGTTAGTTAGCCTCTTTAGTTTAGGAATACCTCTTTGTAAGGTGTGGCAGGTAGCCTAGTGGTTAAGTGTGTTGGGCCATCAACTGAAAAATTGCTGGTTTGACTCCCCAAGCCGGAAAAAATCTATGTAAGACACATTTTGATTGAATGCATCCAGTTGTGCGATTGACTAGATTTTCCCTTGTATATTTTTATTTTGAGATCACCACTTTGAACAAATACTAATCTGCTTAAACGATCATGGGAGTCATGACTTGACCTAAGGTAAGGTGGCTGTCTCCCTGGGCACATGCATAAATCCCTGGTTGCATATGCTTACTTCTCACATTTATGAACAAATCAAATCAGATTACAGACCATGTAGCTAGGCCTAAGACCCCTAGACATAACGAGTGCAGTAAAATCAGTAGGCTAGTTATTGGTTTCCTAACACTATGATGTTGGCCAACACCATGTGTGTAATAACAATCCTCTCACCTGAGTGCTCTGCCCATAGTTTCATAGTTCATGTCAGGTTTGTTCTTGTGCTTGCCCCACAGTTTGGACACAGCCTTGGAGTCCACCAGCTTAAAGATGCCCTTCTCCCTCTGCGTCCACTTGATGTACTTGGGACATGTGTTCTTGTCCTGCAACAGGGCCAGGAGGAACTCCCATAGGTAGATGGTGTTCCCTACGTAGGGGGGATAAAAGAGGAATTTGCAGTTTTAACATGTGAGCCTAATACATGTGAGCTTGGAGCTCTGCTACACCCGTCCATAATTCATTTAGCATTGCAGAGGTTTTACTTAACAAATGGAAATAGGCAGAGACGCAATTACAGCATTCCCTCCCCATAACTTAAATAAATCAATTTGTCGTTCTCGTCGTGTGTGTGTGTGTGTGTACCTAGGGTTGGAAAATATATATAATTGGATGGGGCTCTGGCAGTAGATTACTCATGTTTGTGAAACGGTTAGGACCAGAAGTGGTTAGAAACAGCAACCCCTCCAGCAGCCACTTGAGTCCCAGCCACCATGACAGGGTGATGTATACGTGTCCGGCTGAACCAACCCCCTCTCCCCATCCCCTCTCTGTGCTGAGCAAGGGAACACACACCCGCAATTACAGTTATTTCCCTGTGAAACACAGCACTTTGAGAGCACCTCATCAATTAGCAAGCTGAGGTCCTACCCAACTGGACTACATTGGCTGCTGGTTGATGATTGCACCACTCTACAAGCAGAAACGTGCACAGTAGCCCACAGAATAGGCCAAGAGAGAGACCTTGATATCGATTGGCAATTTTTTCAAGAGGCGAGTCAGTTGAGACAGGGCCAGGAGAGACCTTTATTTTGATTGGCTGTTTTTTTCAAGAATCACGCTGGTTGAGAAGGTGCCAGGAGAGACCTTGATTGCGATTGGCTGTTTTTCAAGAGGTGAGCTGGTTGAGAAGAACGCTCACCTTTGCCCTCTTTGCTCTTCTTCTTGAGTGGCAGGCTGGGAGTGGTGATGGGGGAGCATGGACGCACCGCCCGCGGCTTGCGCACTAAGACGGGAACAAGGAAGGAGAATGGTTAAGTAAAAGTGGCTAAATAAAAACATTATCAGCACTGTATTATGAAACATTTGCTAATAAGGCTATAAGCAAATATATTTGCCAAGGCACTCCTGTGTAACTCTTAAAAAATATCTCCGAAACATGAGTGTAAATGGAATATTTTCATCTTGAAGTTTAAAAACAAGACTAAATTACGTTGTTTGACCACCTAATGTTTTCTAACACTGTCCCCTACAGTCCAGGAGGACCCCCTGCAGTACCTTTACTTTTCCTCTGTGGTTTGGACACGCTCTTCTGAGGGATCTCGTCCATGGAGGATGTTTCCTCGTCCAGCGATACATCCATGCAGCCATTGGGCTCCGGCCGCAGAGGGATGTATGTGTAGTCAGACTCCAACATGGTCCCATAGGTGTGAACTACAACAATAGAAAAAAGTAGTACACTCAATATTACTCCCAGTTATGTAATGTTATGAGACTGTGAACTAAAGCAACAGCCAGAGATAATTATGGGAGTTAGTGAAAATACTACAAATTGCCTTCATCAAAAACTTGTACGTTTTAACAATATGTTTTGAAAGTGGTAAATGCCCTGAGGTAGAAATTGGATTCAGTTAACAAACAAGTGGTACCAAAATATAAAAAAATTGTCCTTCCCCTAACCCCCCTCCTAGCAAGTAGCAACAACAAAACAACATAAATCGTACTCATGCGCTTCTCGTCCAGGATATTGTTTGGTGACTCCATATTGAGAAGGGCTGCCGCAGCCTCGTTGGTCTCCATGCTGTCATCTGTGCCTGACATCGTCGTTTCTATTGGTCAATCAGAAAGGGATTGTCATCAGAACATGAAAAAGACAGATTTAGAGACAAAGGTGAAAGGATGTTACAATCACTAAGGGTGAATTCTAGGTCATTTAAGTAATACCAGGCCCTGTCCGGAAACAACCCCTAGCCCCTATCCCCTAGGCATGCATGCATGTGTAAAGTATCATCTCCTCCTCCTCACCTGAGAGGCCCACGTCTCCAACCATAATAGGCTCCTCCACCACGTGTAGAGTGGTGTCCACCATGATGCCGTTGGCCACCTCGTCCGACTCCATGCCTGAGTAGACCTGCATCAGGTCAGCGGCGGGCACCTGCTCTACGATGACAGCTGGAAACACGGACGGGTCATCCAGCTGGACACACAGAGAGACCAACAGAAGACACCGACAGAGACCACAGACGTTAGATCACAGAATTACATGTCTATGTCTATTGCTTCATTTTGATCTTATGGGCAATTCCATGATAACAATATTATGTTGAGACTGATTTTTCAATTTAAAATGTATGGCAAACAAAAACCATTGATTTCAAAGTTTAACAAACCATACAGCTCTATGCACAGTTGTGTCAAGTTGGCTGGATGTCCTTTGGGTGGTGGACCATTCTTGATACACACGGGAAACTGTTGAGCGTGAAAAACCCAGCAGCGTTGCAGTTCTTGACACATTCAAACTGGTGCGCCTGGCACATACTACCATACCCCATTCAAAGGCACTTAAATATTTTGTCTTGCCCATTCACCCTCAATGGCACACATACACAATCCATGTCTCAACTGTCTCAAAGCTTAAAAATCCTTCTTTAACTAGTCTCCCCCCATTCATCTGTGGATTTAACAGGTGACATCAATAAGGGGTCAAAGCTTTCAACTGGATTCACCTGGTCAGTCTATGTCATGGAAAGAGTAGGTGTTCCTAATGTTTTGTACACTCAGTGTGCAACAGAGGGAGAGCTCATTTCAACAGTGCTTCAGTGGCCCACTGGGACATTCTTATTGCTGGGAATTCCAGACACGCCCCCTCATTTCCAGCACAACATTTCCCAACACGGGAAGAGCTGAGGACATTCTCAGCTAAGGAAATTGCCAGAACTCTGGCCAAACCGTATGACACCCGTTCCAACTGTTGATATGGAAACCAAGCACCCCTGGCAACACTTTCATCACTGACCACGTCCACCAGTGTTACCCCTAGCTTATTTTCCAGACGGGTTGCAAACAAACATCCAGGGTCTATTTAAATATAAACATTTTTGGCAACAGACCTATAGGTGGGGGTTCCCGCTTGGTCCTATATAATGGTAGGGGAAACACTTTCTACAGTAGGCCTACCAATGTGACATGGCAGTTTGTTTCCCAGACAGAACATGTGGACAACAAGCTTCTCTCATCTCAGATTCTGTGACTCAGGGGTCCTTGTGGAGTAAAGACACCGTTTTTATTTTCGGTCAGCACACTGTTATTTTCCTGTCTTCAACAGCACCACAACAGGAGGCTATGTGGATGGCACCTCTTTCCGTTAGTTTTTTCCCATAACATGCCCAAAAGGCTCCAGTTCCAACTCCAGAAGGACATGGAGCAGGCAGGACACCTAGCTTGCAGGTCCTTTACGTTAGGTTAAGCTATTCTAAATATCAAACAACCAAAAATGGTCTAATGAAAAATGTTGCAAAGTATTTTGGCCTGTTTACACTGCCTGCACTCTCATAGCCAGAGAGACAAAAATGAATTCAGTGTCAGTTTCTGAAAACTACCAGGAGATGGAGCCAGACTACAGCTCTTTGCCTGATTATCATCTATGTGCTGCTTTGTACTACCCCACAAAAAAACATTAGTGGCACATTGAAAGGCCAGTAACAACATTTTGGCTTAAAATTCCAAAATGGTGTAATGAACAACAAATAGGTTTTAATGGCATAACCAAACAATGTTCTGAGTAGTATGATTTTACTTTTTCAATCCCTAGAGATAGCCCTTGACATGTTATGGAACATTATAAGGTTTCTGCTTTTTTAGTAATTCTGGTTGAGTCGAAGTTGCTTGTAAGAGGGGTCAGCCATAGGAATGTCCATTCAAATAATTATATTTCTATGGGTCAGCCATCTCTCTCTCTCCTCTAAAGCACACATATCCATTCTTGTGGTTGAACCCCAGGAATTCCAGGTGTCTAAACGTTGAGTCTTGAGCCCCAGGGAGGGACTAGGGAGTCCAAGGTTACATTCACTCAATGCTACACTTTAACCAGAGAACTAACAGTACACTAACAGCACCCTGCCACAGACAACCGCATTACGTAAAATCATTCAAACTCTAGGAGTCATTACCAAACGATTACACTATGTAAACATAGCTAAGAGTTCATTTACATTTACATTTTAGTCATTTAGCAGACGCTCTTATCCAGAGCGAATTACAGTTAGCGCATACATTATTTTATCGAACCCACAACCCTGGCGTTGCAAACGCCATGCTCTACCAACTGAGCTACATCCCCTGCCGGCCATTCCCTCCCCTACCCTGGGCGACGCTGGGCCAATTGTGCGCCACCCCATGGGTCTCCCGGTCGCGGCCGGCTACGACAGAGCCTGGATTCGAACCAGGATCTCTAGTTCAGGAACTAACAATTTCTAACAATATCTTAGTTTTCAGAACACTGTCCATCCAACATGCTGCTTTTTCATGATGTCAGTACTAATGGTCAACAGTGGGCCACGAGACCATTTGGGACCACCACTTGGGAAATATAGAGATAAAGAATGCAGTTTGTTGTGTCCTTTGACTGTAAAAGCTGAAATGTCATTGATACAACAGCATGCTGTCTATTGTTCTCAGACTAGTAGCTAGACACAATACCAGATATCTCAGTCAGTAGGGAGTCCCGTCTCGCCCTCCTTGTCCGGGTTCACTGATGCCTGCGACCTTGTGTGTGTGTGTGTGCGTGTGCGTGCGCATGTGTTTGTGCCCAGACATAAAGAGAGCACCAGTGAGTCTGCTGAGTTCACTCGTCTGTGCATTAACACCACACTGTCTCCCCTCCCTAGCAGAACCAGACCAGACAAACTGAAACCCACACAGATTCTGCTGACGGGGCAGAAGACGTCTGTGTCTGTCTGCTGTTGTTGTCTTGACATAATGGGGGTCAGTTTCAACAAAACACCTGGGGGCTTTGTCACAAAGCAGAACCAACTGCTACTACTGGGCACAGATGTCATTTCTAGCATTGATTTATATATTAGCCAAGAGACACTCAACTATCTCAACAAGACAATTAAAGGTGTAAAACAGAGTATGGTATTTAGTACGAAATACACAAGGGCCACGCACACCTCCAACTCAATCATCAAGTTTGCAGACGACACAACAGTAGTAGGCTTGATTACCAACAATGACGAGACAGCCTACAGGGAGGAGGTGAGGGCTCTGGGAGTGTGGTGCCAGGAAATAATAACCTCTCACTCAACATCAACATAACAAAACAAAGGAGATGATCGTGGACTTCAGGAAACAGCAGAGGGAACACCCCACTATCCACATCGACGGGACCGCAGTGGAGAAGGTGGAAAGCTTCAAGTTCCTCGGCGTACACATCACTGACAAACTGAAATGGTCCACTCACACAGACAGTGTGGTAAAGAAGGCGCAACAGCACGTCTTCAACCTCAGGAGGCTGAAGAAATGTGGCTTGGCACCTAAAACCCTCACAAACTTTTACAGATGTACAATTCAGAGCATCCTGTCGGGCTGTATCACTGCCTGGTACAGCAACTGCACCGCCCACAACCACAGGGCTCTCCAGAGGGTGCTGCGGTCTGCCCAACGCATCACCGGGGGCAAACTACCAGCCCTCCAGGACACCTACAGCACCCGATGTCACAGGAAGGCCAAAAAGATCATCAAGGACAACAACCACCCGAGCCACTGCCTGTTCACCCCGCTATCATCCAGAAGGCGAGGTCAGTACAGGTGCATCAAAGCTGAGACCGGGAGACTGAAAAACAGCTTCTATCTCAAGGCCATCAGACTGTTAAATAGCCATCACTAGCACATTAGAGGCTGCTGCCTATATACATAGATTAGAAATCACTGGCCACTTTAATAAATGGAACACTAGTCACTTGAATAATGTTTACATATCTTGCATTACTCATCTCATATGTATATACTGTATTCTATACTATTCTACTGTATCTTAGTCTATGCCGCTCTGACATTGCTTGTCCATATATTTATTTATATATTCTTAATTCCATTGCTTTACTTAGATTTGTGTGTATTGGGTATATGTTGTTAAATTGTTAGATATTACTTGTTAGATATTACTGCACTGTCGGAGCTAGAAACACAAGCATTTCTCTACACCCGCAATAACATCTGCTAAACACGTGTATGTGACCAATAAAATGTGATTTGATTTGTTGCTCTCAACAGTGTTTCTAATAGGGAAACCAGATATAACGATCACTGGAGTATTTGCATCTCTGAGTTCCCAGTTTCGGCTATGAAAGCAAGCCCCTGTGTGTGAGGTTCCCCTATAATCAACCCAGTTCTGCTTTACCTGCCCATGTCGCCATTTCTAGCCCCACCTATATACTTTTAACATCCCCTAATGGGGCTGATAGAGGAAGTGAATGGTAAACATTACATAGTCACAGGGGTGTCATGCACCCATTATTGGATGGAGGTAGGGTGGCAGTTGAAGTTGAAGAATTTTGTATTTTTCAAACACCTGAATCAGCTTTTTCCTGCAATCAAGAGCCATGATCATTATGCCTAATTCTATGTAAAAAAATATATATTCAGAAAGTATTCAAACCCCTTGACTTTTTCCACGTTTTGTTGTTACAGCCTGAATTTAAAATGGATTACATTTAGATGTTGTGTCACTTGCCTACACACACAATACCCCAAAGTGGAATTATGTTTTTAGACATTGTTACATATTAATAACAAACACAAAGCTGAAATGTCTTGAGTCAATAAGTATTCGACCCCTTTTTTATGGCAAGCGTAAATAAGTTCAGGAGTAACAATGTGCTTAACAAGTCACATAATACATTGCATTGACTCACTCTGTGTGCAATAATAGTGTTTAACATGATTTTTGAATGACTACCTCATCTCTGTCCCTCAGTTCCTCAGTCCCTCAGCCGAGCAGTGATTTTCAAACACAAATTCAACCACAAAGACCAGGCAGGTTTTCCAAAGAAGGGGAAACTATTGGTCGATAGGTAGAAATGTAAAGAAAGCGGTCACTGAATATCCCTTTGAGCATGGTGGAGTAATTCAGTGGAGGCTGCTGAGGGGAGGCCGGTTCATAATAATGGCTGGAACGGAGCGAATGGAATGGCATCAAACCATGTGTTTATAATAATAATAATATAATATAATATGCCATTTAGCAGACGCTTTTTTCCAAAGCGACTTACAGTCATGCGTGCATACATTTTTGTGTATGGGTGGTCCCGGGGATCGAACCCACTACCTTGGCGTTACAAGCGCCGTGCTCTACCAGCTGAGCTACAGAGGACCACTCAATCTGTTTGATGTAGTTGATACCATTCCACTAATTCCGCTCCAGCCATTACCCACGAGCCTGTCCTCCCCAATTAAGGTGCAACCAACCTCCTGTGGTGGAGTTATTAATGACACTTTGGATGGTGTTGCCAGAAAGGAAGGAAACCGGTCAGGGATTTCACCATGAGGCCAATGGTGACTTTAAAACAATTACAGAGTTTAATGGCTATGATAGGAGAAAACTGAGGATGGATCAACAACATTGTAGTTACTCCACAATACTAACCTAATTGACAGAGTGAAAAGAAGGAAGCCTTCACGGAATACAAATATTCCAAAACATGCATCCTGTTTGCAACAAGGCACTAAAGTAATACTGCTAAAAATGTGGTAAAGCGATTCACATTTTGTCCTGAATACAAAGTGTTATGTTTGGGGCAAATCCAGAAGGGATCAAGAAGGAATCAATAGGCTACATAGCATGATCAAATTAATTTACAAACTTACCTCCTGCCCATCACTGGCAGCTAAAATCAAATAAAACGCTGTGGGTGTCACTCTACACTCTCTCTCCTCCTCCACTGACAATATATCTAGCTTCCTGCCTAGGGATCTCTTTGCTCCATGCACCTTGGAAGGAACCACTTACTAGGGAGAATGAGGTGGGGGGGGCTGGTCCAGTCAGTGTGCCCCCAAAGCAAAATTCCGCTGACATATCTTTTTATAAATAATTATGATACAACTTTTTGTAATTAAGTTAACATCTGAAAAATTCAAAAACAGGACAAATCTGAGGGGGCATGACACCACTGCATAGCCACACCACAGATAACAACTGAAATACTTAAAAGGGGGTGCTTTTGACAGACTGATCTTTATGGAGTGCTGTAAAAACAATGTGAGTGGGTGTAAATGAGTGTATAACCACAACAGGCTTCAATAGAACTCTATAATAGCAGCTTTCAGACACTAAACTGAGCTAACCCTAATTCTGAAGTCATTACACCATGGCCCTGACTCAGGGAGCTACTTATTGACTGTAAAATCCAATATAAGAAGGCTAATCATCACAGTCCAGCAGGCTAGGCTAGCTGTGGCTTTCTTTGATTCCAACAGCCCCCATACAGAAATATAAACACTTCAGACTTGCTTGCTCCAGCGAAAACAAAATGGCCCCCTTCGTTAGCATTAGCGCTAAATGTGAATACGTTATCCTAGTGCTATTTTAAGATATTCTTTCCAGCTACCACGTGAACAGACGATGTAATCCTCAGGTAATTGACTGAGTGGGCACAGGGAGGAACCGAGAGGAGGCTTGTGTTATTTCCAAACAATGGTAGGCTTTTCAGTGGAATTAGCGTGTCACCTCACAAACAGCCACCCACAACAGGTCTGTCTGGTTAGGCCTGAACCAGTGCTATTCAGGCGAGAGGATCCAGTGACGACTCGTCCCTCCACATCTACACACACAGAGTAACCTTTGTGCCGTAAATTGACAGGCCCTGGCAAAGCCCCACCCTCTCCTCCCACGCATACTAATAGAGTCCCCACTCCTGGGCCTGGTTTCCCAATGGTTCTAACGATGAACTTAGTCTTAAGATGCTTTTGGGAAACCGGGCCCAGGTCTCTCACACTTTCCGTCTCTGTCCTGCCAACAGCCCAAACTCCATTTCCCAGCCATCCCTTCCTCCTCTACACCTTCTCTCCATCTCTCCATCATGTCAACAATACAGTAAAGCCTCTGACCCGCTGACTTGCTGACTTCCCTGTTCAAATCCCTCTGACCATGTTGCTAATCAAAAGTTACATATTTAAGTAATTTTTGGTTTAAATAATCTTTGTTTCGCTAATCCTTTCAGTATTTGTCTCAATATTATCTGTAAAAATTCACTGGGAAAATGTCTTGCTTAAAGCTGGAATCCTTAATGGTGTAACAGCACCATCCGTTTGCGATATTACAACAACAAAGTAGTTACTGCAAACAATGAACAAACAATGTTTTTTCCCCTCGGACATCATTGCATGCGCGATAGAAGAGCACAATATGTACTGCAATTTTTTTTCACCATGCTCCTCAGCGTGGTAAAAAAAACAGTAACAATGGTGGTGGGGCAGCAAAGGGTGCTGTTTCCCCCTACTGCAGATTCCAGATTTAACTTTTCTATATTGGTGGTGGTACATCATGATAACACTACTGTTATTGACTACTGCTAAATTCCAATGTAATGACAGGTACCTGATTGATCTCATCCATTCCATTGCTGGCAAACTCAAACACTAGCTCATTGGGCTGCACCGCGGTCGCCATGGCGATGGAGGTCCGAGGGTAGAACGCAGACGGACAGACGGGTAGGGTGATTTCCTACCCCTCCAGGGACTGTCCAATCACAGAAAACCCACCAGACTGAACCAAAGGTTCAAAGGTCAATGTCACTGCTGAATAGTCACTGTGGGTCACAACAAAATGGCTTCCCTTCTTGAGAATCTCCAGTGGCCTCTTCACACCTGTTTATTTTATTTTCTCTGTGGTTGCCTGTTAGGGTGTGGAGCAAAGTGCGACTGAGAGACCCAGGAATCAGAGAAGAGCCGCGCTGAGCCTGGATGGAGGCAGCCTCTTCCTGGGGCCTGCTGCGTCTGGAGCATCTACACCTGCCTGAGAGAGAGGGGAGAGAGAGGAACATGTCAGTGGGTGTGTAAGACTAGTTGTGCCTGACTGGGGTGCAAAGTCGAGCCCGGGTCTCCTGTGCACCACAAAACTGTGTTAGCCTGATGAACTAAGCCTCTGGGAGAAATTTGTGAGAGGGTCCACACTCAGAGTATGTGAGTAGTGTTTATGTGTCTGAGGCCAAGAAGTAAGAAAATATCCCAGCCAGCACAGTCCAGTTCGGGTCGGCACGAAAGTGTGAAAAGGGTATAGGAGACAACCATGGGCCTGACTATCTGCTTGCTCCCATGAAAAGACTGCTGGTTCCAGTGGAGAACTCAGATCACTGGATCATTCTTGGCTCAGAGGGCCCTAACCGCCTGCCTGCCAGCTAACAACAAACTTTCCCACAACTTTAGAGAACATTCCCTTAAGAGTCTCATTAGGTCATTAACTAACGTTTCATAGGAATGTTCCTGTGATGTGCAAGGAATGTTTCCAAGAGACCATTCCCTTAATGTCAAATAGAACTTACCCAGAACGTGGTTACCATATTCTCTGAATTTAAAATATTAATGTTCTAGACACGTTTCATGGGAACATTGCAAGGACATTCATGTGTCCAGTTTCCTGTGTGTTAGGAGAATATTCCATCAACATCCCACCAAACATACACAGAACATGGTTGCCATGTTCTCAGAAAATAAGATATCAATGTTGTAGACACGTTTCATGGGAACTTTGCAGGAACATTTCTGTGTATCAGTTGTCAGGACATCGCATGATGGTCCCAAAGAAATATTCTCCCCCAAAAAGTTTAATTACACATCACACCTTGTTACTGTTGCCGAGCCAATCAAGGCCAGATTAACCGCTACTTGACATGGACATGGTGGTGTAGCAGGAAAATCAGCATACCGTGGACAAAGAGGTTGTGAGTTCAAATCCCAGGTGAGGACTGTTGAATAATAATGACTGTATAAATGAACGTGGGTCATATGTAAGTTGAAAACACTGTACAAGAAAGAACTGTGTGTGTGTGAGTATCCCTAACCTTACCAACAGACAGAGAAGTATGAATGGATCAGTGGTTCACAAATCAGGGCCTTGATTGGCTCGACAACAGTAACAAAGGGAAATTTAGAAAAAAAATTGTTGGGAAAGGATGTTTCTTTGGGACCATCAGGCAATGTCCTGACAACTGATACACAGAAATGTTCTTGCAACGTGTCGAGAACATTAATATTATTTATTCCCAGAACATAGTAACCACGTTCAGGTTATGTTCTGTTTGACGTTAGGGGAATGTTCTCCTAACTCTAATGTCAAACCATGCTAAAACGTTCTCAGAAGGTTTTTGCTAACATACATAGAATGTTCCCATAACTAAGGGAAAACTGGACACTCAAACATTAGGGGAACATTACGGTAACATTACAAAAACGTTCTCTCTCCCTAGAATTGTTAGCAGGGTTGACAGGCACTCTCACAGTCTTCCAAAACAGAATCAAAACTAGCACTGAGCACATGGAAAAATGTACCAGGCTTTCCAATACATCCATTACCCGGCTTCACATTCAGTTTCTCTTATACTCACTTGAAAAAGTGTGTGATTATAGCTGTCGCCTCAGTGAGTAGCTATATTAATCTTAAAATGCATAATCAAATTCATAGAATCCCCTATAAGTTATAAAATATATTACTATTCTATTGTAATATACCACCATTTCATGTCAAGTTACAGAATCATGACCGATAACAAACATGACTACAGGAATCATGAAGAAGCGCTTTGGGGTTTTAGGCAGGGTTTCTGTATAAGCACTTTGGGACATCGTCTGGCTTGTCAGTCAGTGTTGCTCCACTTTCAGAAGCACATGGTTCCCTTTACTCCATCAAAGCCCAGTAGCAGTAAGTAGACTAGTCCCCCTTTGACGTCACATCTGTAGTACCTTGGGAAGAGGGGGGGTATCGTCCGTCCCCCCCCAACACCCCAAGGATGTGAGCTCACCCGGGTCATGAGGGCCAGTGTAAATGAGGGGTGGGGGGGGGGTGCACATGGGTGGGGTGGAAGAACAGAAAACAAGTTCTGGAAAAATAACACAGTCCTTCTGATGGTCTCTGCCCAAGCGACCCTTCAGGAAGGAGGAAGAGATGGGTTGATGGAGGGATAGGGGGGGTCGTAGTGAGAGCGTAGCCCACATCCCACAGGCTGGTCTCAAGGGCTGTTTAGGGGAAAGGGAGTGGCAGGTGTTCTGGTTAAAGATTAAAGCGGGCGGTGTAGGGGGGAGTAGAGGAGAACTGGCAACAGTAGAGAGGGGAGAGAGAGAGAGAGATGGCAGCAGTACTTAGAAGCCCCCCCCCCCCCCCCCTCCCCCATCGTTACCACCACCACCCCCCAGCCGCCCCTACCTCCCCCGTTTCCTTCTCCACTGCTGCAGGGTGGGGCCTGTTTGCTTTGAAATGCCTGTGTGACTGACGAAGTGCATTCCTAGTCCAATTGTGTCTCTGTGGGGGTGGTGAGAGGGGGGGGGGTGGTGGTGAGAGGGAATGGTGAGAGAAGGAAGACGGAAGGGGTTCAAATTGGGGGAGGAAAGGGGTGAGGAGGGGAGGTCAAACAAATGTGTGATTAAAAGTATCTTGTTTCTTCCCCCCTGCTTGCTTTTGGTAAATGCATAACATGAAGCTCAGAGGAGCGAGAGGAGGAGTAGAGAGGAGAGGAGGAGTGGAGAGGAAGAGTACTGAAGGTCAGCCTTTCATTTCACTCAGCCTCTCCCTCCCTCTTTCTCGCTCTCTCTTTCACTCTGCCCATTGGTAGTTTCCATGCCCACCTCTGCCACCCACAGCTGGCCATTATAAGCTGGAGCCCCCTGACTGCCAGTGCCCTTGGCATCTGCTGGGGGGGAGATTTGCCCCCTCCCAAGGAAATTGACCTCCTGGTGGGGGTAAATGGGGCAGATGGAGCCTTCAGTTCCAGGCCCCACATTAAACTACCTCTGTGGGCCACACATGGAGCAGACAGCACGCATAAACCTGGACTAAGTAGAATCCCCTCTCTCTGCTTCTCTGGGAAGAACATAAACATCTAGTGGTCAGGTTCATATGGGAGCCCATTCCTGGCTGCATATATTTATTTCAGGCATATTTAATTCTATGCCTAGCTGCTCATAGACATCATAAGTACTGTATATGACATCATTTGTACTGCCCAACTCCAATGCTCCCTTCAAGACTTAAAGGGACAGTTCACTTCAAAGTCAAGTTCAATCACTTAAAATGTGTGAGTGTTTTGTGAATACAGGCCCTGAGAAACATAGATTTTTGATTGAACTGTCGCTTTTAGAGTGGACAGAATATGGTATGACCCCTACAATCCTGTCTCACTTCTCTCTTCAATTTCCCCTTACTCCTTATGCCGTCCACCATAACTGTCAGTAGGTTGGTTGAAATTCTATTACGTTTGTTATCTTAGTCAGAGTTTACAGATAGGCTTGTGACTAAATTAATCATTTGCACCCTCCAATCACAACAGGCCAGCAAAAGCCTGTTATCAAACCGATAGAAACATAGAAACACTTTTTTATCTGATGGGTTTAATGCAAGGTGTGTGTGTGTGTGTGTGTGTGTGTGTGTGAGTGTGTGTGGTGTGCGTCATGTGCACTTGTTTGTGTATGCGAGTGCATGTGCGTGTGTACTTGTGTGTTTATGTGAATGTGAGTGCACATGTGTGTCCTGTATCCCTCCTGTCATCGCATCATTGATCTGGGTGGCCCAGTTGGCACAGTGCTGAGGGTAGACAGGGACACTACAGACAGTCAGTCATTAGAGAGACCTGTACAGTATCCCAGAACACATGACAACAGCTGCTTTGTCTGCACAGGCAGCGGAAGGCTGAGATCACTCTACGTCAGTCAGAGGAGAGGAGAGGAGGGGGAAAAAGCAGAGCAAAACAGAACAGCTCACCAGTTAAATGTAACTAAATGTAATCTAAAACGTAATCTTGTCACGCCCTGGCTCTGGGGACTCTAGTATGTTGAGCCAGGGTGTGAGTTTTCATTGGTGTTCGTTCTGGTATTGTGTTTCTATGTTGGCCAGTGTGGTTCTCAATCAGAGGCAACGTGAATCAGCTGTTGCTTGTTGTCTCTGATTGGGAACCATACTTAGTCAGCCTGTTTCCCACAGTATGGTGTGGTATCATGTTCCTTTTGGTTTGTGTTTGTACCGTAGGACTTCACGTATCGTTTGTTGTTTTGTTCGTGTAACATTAATAAAAAGCATGTTCACCTTCCACGCTGCGCCTTGGTCCTCCTCTGTATACGACGATCGTGACAAATCTACGTAATCCCCAAAAGTAATTATTTATCATGAGAGGGCCATAAACAATAAATAGTAATGCTGCATACTCAAAGAAAGGTTAACATCACACCTTTCTGGCAAAAATAGTTATAAATTGCTGAGGTGTAGTCACTTTTGTGGACACGTGCTCAAGTACACAGTACAAATATGATACAAATATGAAAATATGAAATATTTTATATGTTGTATTTCCTATTCAACCAAACTGTATGAATAAGGCTTGAAATGACTTATATGCTTTCTAAATATGGTATAATCAAATTATAAAATGACTAACTATAAGATTTCACCTTCCATATAAGTGTAAA